TTCCAGGGGATCTGACAGCCTCTTCTGTCCTCTGAGGGCATTGCATGACAAGGGTGTACTTACCTACATGCAGACAATACACACACATAAAAAAATAAAAATAATAAAATATTTTTTAAATATGAGATTACCATCCTGCTTAACCTGCAAACCTTCCAGCAGCCTTTCTGACGTGTCTGACGTCACTCTTCTAGTCGCTGCTGGTTTCATTGCCTGGCATTAGTATGCTGCCCTCTAACCAGAACATGAGAAATGAAATGCTGCCAGAGAGGTATCATTGATGATTATTTATCAGAAATTTGAGACCAGGTTAATTTTCAGAAACATTTTTTCCTCACTTATCCAAAGAACCAATAGACCTGTCTGTTTTACTTTGTTTGTGGGATTCCAGCCAAGATAACAGTGACATCCTGGATACGTGACTGTTCTGGTATACTCAAATGCCTGTGAAATTTCAAAGCTATGAAATAGTGAAAATACTTAGCATATGCTAATAAAAATCTTTCTTAAATAATTTGAATAATACAAAGTAAACAGAATTTAAAGAAGACAAAGAATTTGAATAATACAATGAATAAATTTGAGCTTGTATATAAGAAAAATTAAAAGGAATAAAAGAAAATTGTTTATTGAAGAGTCACTTAAAATATTTCCTTATTTCTTCTGCCCTAATATACTTAAATAAATTTTAATTCTCAAGTTATGTTAATCTTAAATTGTGAATCTTTTTCTTTTTAAATATTCCTTTTTCATGTGTGTGAGTGTATTGCCTGTATGAAAGTGCACCCGAGTCATGCAGTGCCCTCAGAGGTCAGAAGAGGGCATCAGATCCCCTGGAACTGGAGTTATGGACAGTTGTTAGCTGCCATGTGGGTGCTGGGAATCAAACCCGGGTCCTCTGCAAAAGCAGTCAGTGCTCTTAACCACTGAGCCATCTCTCCAGCCCCATGAATCTTTTTCTGTGTATCAAGTGAGGAAATCAGACAATGGTTTCATAAAGAACTCACATGGGCTCGAGATGTAGCTCAGTCATGGAGCACTTGCCTAACATGCCAGGACATTGGTTCTGTCTTCAGCACTGTAAAAAGACAGAAAGAGTTCAAGTCATAAGCAAAAATTATGAAAGAGCCAACTAGAAACATAACATTTCACCTAATCACATGAAAATTTATCCTACCCAGTTTCCTTATGACACAGAATATTGTTTGTTCATATATCTCATACAGAAAACGACTAGCACATATATTTGTGGGTTATAGAATTAGACTCTTCCTTTGAGTAATGAAAGGTCCAGAAGGTATTTAAAGAATTCTGTAATCCCCCAAGGTCATCATACTGACCATGATGTCATCAGAGGCACAACAGACCACAATAACTGAGAGTGCAAACAGGAGGATGTATTCTTCATTCCTTCATTCATTCGTGCATGACGCACTGTTGAATGCTGTTTTATGTAAGGCAATACTGAATTAGACACTTAGTCATTTTACCAAGTTCCTATCGATGGAAGCTAACATTCATAATGTTCCATATCCTAAAGAGTAAAAAGCATTTGTCGAGGTAAAAATAAGCCACTAACAGAACCCAGGGCTTTATCATTTCATCTTTTATTGAAATATAAGCAAGCGATTATTTTATTTAATTATCAGAATTAAAATCTGAATAACAAGCAGATAATATGACCTAAGATTATGTCTATCAGTTTGCTGACTGTTTTAGATCTCACTATACCAACTCTCTGCTACCTACATTCAAATAAGCATAAAAGCCAGGCAAAATAAGATAAGAAAGTGACTTGGATCCTTATCACAATGAATATTCATGTTTAAGCTTAAGCAGTTGCATTTTTAGATGAAGAAAAAGACTTGAATATAAACCTAAAAATTCCTAATGTACTACCAACCAAGTTCACTAAACACAGTTCAATCTGTGTATAAAAAGAAAAAAGCCTACAGTACCCACAATGAAGATATAGACATGTGCACCTACATTCATTAATACAAAAAAAAAAAAAGCTTGGATAAATTGATGTGTTTTCTAAATTCATTCCTTTTCTATTACAGTTAAATATGAAAGGATCAAATTCTTGGTGATTGCCTTAAAGAATGCAGTGGAGATATACGCTTGGGCCCCTAAACCTTATCACAAGTTCATGGCATTTAAGGTAAGCATGTAGGTTGCTTGCTGGTCTAATTTCAATTTCCACCAGTGCTGTATTTTCTACATAAGCCCACACCAGTTTTATAATATATATAAAACATGTTGTAAAACTTGGATTTATTATTTCAAAAGATTATTTTAAATGCTATCAACTCCATCACATTAAAATTTGTGTTTGTCCTCCTCCATTTGATGTCTCTGAAACGTTGACTTCGAGAGGAATTTAGTATGAATAGCTACCAAGAAAAGTACCAAATGTGACATTACACAATGAGATCTGTTGTGAAGCCACTGAAACTTAAGAATTGTCTGATGTTTTGTCTGAAAAAGACAGCTCAATGGCAGCACTGGGTCTCTAGATCACTAATCATCTCAGATGTTTCCAGATGAACTCTCTGAGACTCTACATTTGTGTATCCCCATGGCTCGCACACGTCTCTGAATGGAATGCTGAATGTAGTCACTCCTGGACATGGCCTGATTTCTCTGCACTTCCATTCTGATTGCCTTTGCACTTGTTTCCTTGGTCTGAGTCTGTACTCATCACAGATGGATGGTCCCTCATGAAGCTCAGCAGCAGTAGGATGGTGACGTGCTTGTCCCATTGACCCCAGGACATAAAATTGATCACCAACTGCCAGAAGAACCATGACTTTCAATCACCCTGATGGTTCCAAGCCATGCAGCCCAGCCACATGCAGCCAGTGTGAACTTGTCCCCCATGACTTTCAATCACCCTGATGGTTCCAAGCCATGCAGCCCAGCCACATGCAGCCAGTGTGAACTTGTCCCCCATGACTTTCAATCACCCTGATGGTTCCAAGCCATGCAGCCCAGCCACATGCAGCCAGTGTGAACTTGTCCCCCATGACTTTCAATCACCCTGATGGTTCCAAGCCATGCAGCCCAGCCACATGCAGCCAGTGTGAACTTGTCCCCCATGACTTTCAATCACCCTGATGGTTCCAAGCCATGCAGCCCAGCCACATGCAGCCAGTGTGAACTTGTCCCCCATGACTTTCAATCACCCTGATGGTTCCAAGCCATGCAGCCCAGCCACACGCAGCCAGTGTGAACTTGTCCCCCATGACTTTCAATCACCCTGATGGTTCCAAGCCATGCAGCCCAGCCACACGCAGCCAGTGTGAACTTGTCCCCCATTCTGCCTCTCTCTGCGTTCTTCGTCAGTCTTCACATTTTATCTCCACATTTGTGACTGTGATCTCCCTTTGGCTCTGTATTCTTTCACAACACCTACACCACGTGAAAGTCGAATCCGCCCTGGAAATGTCAGCTCTCTTAATGAATCCCCGACTCCTGTCTTGTTCTTTTCATTCAAATGGCCCATTTGTGGTGGGCTCTGGAGGACAGACTCATCAACAGAAATGGGCTCCCCTCCATAGCCCCACTTTACTGAAAGAAATGTTTGGACTACATTATGGCCACAACAACAGTGACTCTCAGAAGCTAATGTATTGCTACTGTGCTGCCAGAATCTCTCTCCACAAAAGCTTGTATGTCATGGTCCCTTTCCCATTCGGACCCTGAAGCCACTGCTGTCAGAGTCCTAGCCACAGCACACAAGATAGCAGACCAGACCCAGCCCTGAAGAGGGAAGTATAAACCCAAAGACTTGAACAGAAAAGGCTGGGACACCCTTCCCTCAGACAAGAGCAGGGGGTGCCGACTTCCTGTGCTTTGAGGAGTGTAACAGCGGATGGGGAGACAGCAGCATTAGATGGCAGGGATGTGATACACAAGGCAACTGTGATCTCACAAATCTTCCCCTGGAGTTCATGTCCAGTAAAAGTACAGCGTGAAGGAATCGAGACAAAGGAAGTGAGACGGGGAGACTTCACAGCCAGCTGGACTTAGGCCCTGGATCTGGTCCCACAGAACTTTGATAAACTTGTCTAGAGCTCTCCTTTCTACCTTTTCTGGTTTACCTTGGAGATGCTACGAACCATGAGCCTTGTAACATTTCTTCCCCACCCCCCTTTTTTTAATCACCCAAACCTAACTCTCAGAATGCAGTTCTAATGTTTAGAGAAAGTATCGCCCTAATACCCACTCGGTCATGAAAGGAAAATTATAATCACGGCATGCTCATTAATCCCAAAGAAGCTTAGCACAGAGCCAGTTGCAGGCTCTTCTGGAAGGTAGCAAACTGGTTACCACATGGATAAGAGGGACCCAGAGAGATGGCTGCACCCTCTCCAGTGGGCACAGGCCAGAAATAAGCAGGAAAGAACAGCAGCATCCAGCCACCAAGCTTTTAACACCAACACTATCAGAATTGACAGTTGTTAACTGTCTTCTCCATCACACAGGACAAAAAGTACAAAGCAAAATGCAACAGACAAGAAGCTTTCCTCCAGTCACCTGAGATGAATAGATGGAAAACTGAGAGACCTTTTCCTAGCTTTTCAACTGAAGAAATCTTCCCTCAGACGGTGGCTAAGTGAAATGTACTAATAAGACAACCTGGTTAATTGAATACTAACGAGGTGTCTTTTGAAGTCTTTTGCAGATCTCCAGCATAAGCCTCTGCTTGTTGATCTCACAGTAGAAGAAGGTCAAAGATTAAAGGTTATTTTTGGCTCACACACTGGTTTCCATGTAATTGACGTGGATTCAGGAAACTCTTATGATATCTACATACCATCTCATGTAAGTTGCCAAAAGCAAACTCTCTCCTGCTCCCTTCCTGGTAGCCTGTGTATAGATTTTGTTTTGCCTATTTTTTAGTAGAAGTTCTGCTAACTTTTACTAATCTGTAAAGTAAGTGAACTTTGGGCACCATGAAATAGAATGCTTTCAATATGGAAAACGTGTAAATTCACCTAAATTTTCTTATGCCCTACAACTGACGAACACATCACTGAAATTATTTTGTAGTTATTCTGTATATTGTTTTTGGACTTTAGATTAGAATGCATATGTTACAGGGTAGATGATCTCCCCCACTTTCAGTTTCTGAAGGAAAATTGATTCATCTTGTGCTAGAGAAAGCCAACAGTTAGATGCTAAATTCTAGGAGAAAAATCCCTTTTCTGCTATTTTAAGTTCTTGTCAGCCTGGGGGAAATTGGATAGGATGGGGTTGGACCCACTGGAACTTGTACTGTTTCTAACATGTGTGAGCCTTGCAACAGTGGACATGCTAGGCAGCCTCTCCAACCCCCAGCTTTCACCTCTGTACCCTGTAGGGTTATTATGAACATTAAATTAGGCAATCAGTTGAAAACACTTGACCAAAGGCCCTACATATTAAAGTTATGCTTATTAACAATGTAATATTCAGGACTGGAGAGGTGGCTCACCAGTTAGGAGCACTGGCTGCTCTTGCAGAGGACCTGGGTTCCGTTCCCAGCACCCACATGCCAGGTTCAGGGGATCTGTAACTGTCTTCTAGCCTCCACAGGCAGTTCAGGCATAGGTACACTTGCATACATGCAGAAAAAATACCCATACACATAAAAAAAATAAAATATATAAAATTCAAATTATACCTATATATATATATGCATAAACCGTTACCCTTAAGGAGAATGTTTCACAGATCTGCTTATTAGAGTGGGTGTGGTGTAAGCTATGTGTCCTGAGTGTAAACCCAAGGCTTACAAACTCGAAGTCTGAAGTCAATCCCTGACGGATTGGCATTTTGAGAGTTGAAGGCTTTAAAGAAGCTCAGTCAGGCGTGTTGATTTGATGCATTATACCCACACATGCAGTTGTCATTTCTGGCTGCATTACGGCTTTTGACTTCTGTGTGTACATTGTCGGCTGCTGGGGCGTCACCACTGATTGTCCCAATCCCCACAGCCCCGTGGTCTATCACACGCTGGAACTCTGTGACACCGTCATCCAGGAGGCTGCGGCAGCACCGCTTCACTTTTGGAAGAGTCAAGCAATTACACTTATTTTACTAGTGTGATACGTTTTACTAGTGTGATACACTTTTTTCAAAGAAATTGTTCTAGTGCAAAACCCATGAATTTCAATGTCAGAAAAATGTGCTGAAATCCCATTTCTAGCACTAAATTCTACTGTAGCTTTGGTCAGGTTACATAACTCTTGGGATTCAGTTCATTCATCTTCAAACAAAGATATCTATGATGGAGAGCGCTTTATGTACATAGTAAGTGGTCCAATATGGTGTCCCATAGAGACAGTGGTACTGTTATCTTTATGTACATAGTAAGTGGTCCAATATGGTGTCCCATAGAGACAGTGGTACTGTTATTAAGAACAAGTAAGTTGGATTGTTGATCTAGTAGCTAAGTCTGTGTTTACCAGGGCATTTGACAAGGTCAGTACTTAAACTTGACAAAGCAAATTTCAGTCTCTATAATATTTGCAATTCTTAAAGCTACAAGTCATTCAAGGTTGTCTTGGTTTTAAATAGAGTAATGCTTGGTCTTTGTCTTCTAGATTCAGGGCAACATCACTCCCCATGCTATCGTCATCTTGCCTAAAACAGATGGAATGGAGATGCTTGTTTGCTATGAGGATGAGGGTGTGTACGTGAACACCTACAGCCGGATCACTAAGGATGTGGTGCTCCAATGGGGAGAAATGCCCACGTCTGTGGGTAGGTTAACCATTCCTTATCTCCTTCAGCAGTTACACTCCCCAAATGAAACGAAAGTCAAGAAATGTGAAACAACCAT